AAGGACATACCCTATCTTTACAGAAATTTGTTACGTAAAACCCTACAACAGGTTTGTCACCCATACTTCGCAATATTTCTGGTCTGTTCTTTCACATCTCCCTTCTCTCCGAGGCACATGCTGGCCAGGCAGCAGTGATAACTTTTTAACCCATTTCTAATTAGTACATTGGTCAAGATCAAAGCTTGAGCAGTGAAACAAAAGCTTGTTACAGAAAACCTACAACAGGTTTGTCACCCATACTTCTTAATATTTCCGTTCTGTTCTTTCATACCTTACCCTCATCCAACTAGTCTTCAAGGCAATTGCGCAATATCAAGCAAGGAGCACTTCTCAACCCATTTCCAATTAGTGCACCGGTCGAGTTTCAGATCTTGAACAGTGGAACAAAATCTCACCACGCGAAAACCTACAACAGGTTTGTCACCCATAGTTCTCAATATTTCTGGTCTCTTCTTTCATCTCTAACCGTCATCCACCTCCTCTCCATGGCACATGCTGACCAGGCAGCAGTGATCACATTTCAACTCTTTTATGAGCACCGATCAAGCTTCAAGTCTTGATCAGTGAAAAAAAGCTTGTCAAGTGGACACTAACTTAAGGCGTTCCCCGTAATCCCTTATCATCTCGGTCCGTCCTTCATCTCCACTCGTCTTATCCACTTAGTGTTTTCGGCACATGCCGACCAGACAGCTGTGGCCACTTTTCAGTCATTTCTAATCAGTGCACTTTTCGAACTTCAAAGCATTATCAGTGGAGCAAACTTTTTCAGGTGGAAACCAACTTAACAACAACACATTCTGATGAAGTAGGTGAGCTTATTTTGGTGCACTGTTCGACCTTCAGCACTGGATTAGTGCTAAACATTTCTCTTATCCGAATAATCGCACGTTTGTCTTCCATAATTTCTCCAATTTCTTGTCTGTTCATCCATGTTGATCCCTTTGAGCTATCTCTTCCCCGTGGCAAAGTCTGACGTGGCATTAGTGTTCACCTATCAACTCCTTCATAATCGCTTCACTCGTTGGGCGTCTAAACTAGATCTGTGGAACCCAAACCTTTCAAGGGAAAACCTACATTAGACTTATCAACCTCAATTCTTGACATTGTAATTCCTTCCTGTGATTCGCTGCATCTTTTTGACCTGCGTTTTTTGTGTGCGCACTTTCTTTCTAAACACATATCAATATATATACTTTCGGGTACTTACGTATTCCGCATATTCTTTCGCAACATGCTGTTCCCCCTTCCCTTCTCAGCTGGGTATTACACCAGACTGCCGAGTTTCGCCCTTTTTATTCCAGATTCGGTTGGCTTATGCCTGCCGAAGGCTTGGGGTCTACACCCACAATAGACAATTTGGCTCCGTCAATGGTTGTTGTATCCACCGTTTTTGACTACATGCGTCCGCATTCCGGACCAGGTTGAGGATCACACACCCTGCCTCACCTACAAGGTGTTTTAAGGTTGGGTGTCTAGCGTGTAGTCAGTCCCACATAGAAGCAACCAACGCTTCAATAATATGAATAAAATCCAATCAGTCCGTTAATGGTGAAGCCCCGAAGCTCATTATTCAGTGATCACCAAAGTCCTTCCAACTGTATCGACATATCAAACAGTTTATTTATAAGCCATCTGGTGTCTCTTCTTGAATTACTGTACTCTCCTTCAGCCCAATTGCAGCTCTGCCTCTGAAATTATGAATCTTTCTTCGTTGCTATTCTCTTTCTGTTCTTTGAACTCGTTTCCGCGCATTTTCTCCAGAGCGGATATTCCAAATCCCTACTTTCCGTCTTCACACTACTTGTCATAAGACACGTTCACCATGACGTGCATTACATAACAGATCACCCCCAATACTCCATTTTATGGCCTTGTCCGCATTGTTTTTCGTTTTCAACGGGAGGCTCATTTACGATA